AATTTGAAGTCAGTTAAGTTGTAATAGAAATAGAAATGCACACACTTTTAAGTCCCAAGCTGTCATATTGTTTTATGCAGATTTCTAGAAACAACTGAGATATACCTGGATTAATAGAAAAATCACTATAATTAAAATATGAAGAGGAATTAAATCATATATTTCTGTGCAAATCATCTGAGATCTGCTGAAATAAATGCAAATTCTCAATTTTTAATAGGGTATACAAATTGCATTAGGTCAAATGACTATTATGGTTTTCATATTTTAAATTTTTATTATTTATTTTTTACATGTATGAGTGTGTTGCCTGCCTGTGTTTAAGTGCACCCATGTCCTGCAGTGACTGAGGAGGTCCAAAGAAGGCACTGGATCCCCTGGAACTGGAGTTATGGATGGTTGTTAGCCACCACGTGGGTGCTGGTAATTGAACCCAGGTCCTTCTTCAAGAGCAGTCAGTGCTCTTAACTCCTGAGCCATCTCTCCAGCCCCTGGTTTTCATATTTTATTATAAATTGCATAGCCCATTTCTTTTAGGTAAGGTATCATGTAGCCCAGACTGGCCTTGAACTTACTATGTAAGTAAAGATAACCTTGAACTGCTGATTCTCATGCCTCTACCTCCCAAGTGCTCACACGCTCTTAATACAAATTAAATGTAATTTGGAAATGATTTCATTAACTAGCTTTTTAGCCCTTAAAATATTTTCTGTGGGCATTGTATGACACGGGTACACTTACCTACATGCATGCAATACACACATAAAGTAAAAATAATAAATAAAATATGGAAAAAATATTTTAAAGTTTGCTTGTATATTTTATTACAGCATTTTTAGCAAAATGAACCTATATTATATAAAGACACATATTAATAGAAACACAGAAGCATGTGCACACACACAGGCACTCACGCACATGTGAGCATACACACACACACACACACACACACACACATACACGCACACACGCACACACACACTGAAGCTTGAATTGCTGACAATTGCCAAGTAAGCATTTGTAGCCAAAGGAAATTTAGATAAGGAGTGAGTACAAGAAGTTTCTTTAAAAAACAACCTTCCCTTTTTCCTTTTCCCCTTTTGCCTATACTTAGCTAATGACCTTCCCTGACACCAACTTGACTTCTAGAGGTCACTCTGGAGCCTTTGTACAGCCTGAGGTTTTCACATTTTTCTCTAAAGAAACAATTGCATTTATCCCTAGATACTCATAATTAAAGGTCTTGCTACTTACATAATCTGTACAGATCATGTTCCAAACCTTTTATAATAAAACTAATCACCATTATGTATTATTTTAATCTTTAAAATGAATTTTAGAAAGATAGCATACAAAATTGAAACCAAATGTTAGAATGAGAGCACAGATGCTATTTTTTTAAGTTGTCATAGTATGTTTTTTACAATTGTAATGTAAATTGTTGAATTCAGTTCCTTCAATTGTCAAGTAAAAGAAACTGAGTTTCAGACAGACTGAGTGTACCAAAAGTTACAGCAAAAACAAATGAAGTGGGGCTGGAGAGACGACTCGGTGGTTCAGAGCACTGGCTGCTCTTGCAGATGATCTAGTTTCAAATCTGAGCACTCAGCCGGGCATGGTGGTGCACACCTTTAATCCCAGCACTCAGGCAGCAGAAGCAGGCTGTGAGTTCAAGGCCAGCCTGGTCTACATAGTGAGTTCCAGGGCAGCTAGGGCTACAAGGAGACCCTGTCTCAAAAAGACCAAAAAAAAAAAAAAGTCAAATCTGAGCACTTACATACTGGCCATTGGTAACTTCAGTTCTACAGGATCCAACACCCTCTTCTGGTCCCTGTGGGCATTGCACACTTGGGTGCACTTACATATATGCATGCAAAATGCTTATTTACATAAAATAAAAATAAATAAATAAAAAAAATTAAAACAAAGAGTAAGAACTAAAAGTCTCTTGACTTCTAGCCCAATTCTCCACTTCTAGTACCCCCATAACAATAAACTAAAAGCTTGTGAAGGTAGCAACACTTCTTTTCCTCTTTGATAAAAATTAATAAAAATAAAATTTGTAGGAAATCAAGATATAATTAGAAATATTCATAAGAAGCGTTCTATTTTCAAGAAACTAATAAGTATAAATTTACAATTTCAAAGAAAGGAACTAAGATATGGTCTTTTTCTTGTGATTTTACTTATTTTAGAAAAGAATAAAAGTTAAAGCATCTATATCCATAGGAGTTTTAATACTCATTATTAAATCCAATGAACTACAGTTGATAATAACAACATCAGTATGTTGTGAGATTTAAATTATGAACTATAACCCAAAATGAATCATATTTCAAAAGTAATGATTGATTCAGAAATACACTAAAAATACATAGGATGGGGAGAAAACAGCTGATCATTCAATAATAAGCTCAAGTTACTCTTTAAAAAGTTCCTATTGCAGATGTTTCAGGCCAAACTAATTCTATGAGGAATATTGTAGTGTGGGGCTGGAGAGATGGCTGAGTGGTTAAGAGTACTGGCTGTTCTTGTAGAAGACCCAGGTTTGAGTCCCAGCATCCACATAGCAGCCAACAACCACCCATGACTATAGTTCCAGGGTATCCAACACCCTCTTCTGACCTCCGTGGGTATTTTAAGGCATGCGTGCACTTATAGACATGCAGGCAATATTCTCATACACATAAAAATAATATATATAAAGAAATATTGTAGTATGTATAATCATCAAAAGACATTGACATTTGAAAGGATAGTCTAGTGCTGGAGATGCATCTCAGTAGTAGAATCCTTAGCTAGCATGCACAAGGTCCTGGGTTTGATCCTCAGCACCTCATAAAAAACTGGATATCATGGTCCATGCCTCTAATCCAGTATTCAGGAGGGGGAGGCAGCTGAATCAGAAGTTCAAGGTCATTCTCTGCTATATATCCAGTTAGAGGCTAGTCTGAGCTACATGAGGTGCTGTCTCAAAAATACACACACACACACGCACACACACAGCAACAAGGCAATTCAAAGATTTTGCCTTGCAACTTAAAAAAAAAGAAACCACAGAAGAGAGCCATTGTGGATTTTCTACAGATTTCGAAGGTAGAAATAAGAATTTCTAAAGTAAATCATTCTCAAAAAATTATGATTTTTTTCTGAGGAAATATTTTATTTTTTCTTTAAAATTTCTAATTGAGTTTCTGTAATTTCATACAACAGTTCTTAGTCAATCTAAGCTCAGTAGAAACAAACCTATGCACAAAAACATATGATTTTAAGCGCAGGGAAGGGGGTAAGCACCTTTCAAATCATCTATAGGTTGACAACCAAGCTATTGTCAGTAAACTGGAAGGGTGACAGTTCAAGGAAAGTAGCATTAGATAACAGTACATATTTGCATCTGCAGAGCTGATGCCTGACATTCATAAACAAGGAATAGTGGTAGTGGACAGAAACTGTGGCATTTAGTGGGCCTGCATCTGAATTCCAGTTAAGTGATTTTGAACACATTTCTTAACTTCCTAATAATTTTATTTTCTTTTCCTATAAATAAGGATAAGATGTCCTTACAAGAAAGGATAGAAAGCAGAAGATGTTTGGGAAATACTCAAATGTCGATAACTCTTTAGTGAACATCTTTTATTCCTGAGGCTATGAAACCAACTTGTTTGAGTGAGACCAGTGCACTGCTTAGTGAAAAGATGCTGGCTTCTTTAGAATTGGAGGAAGAAAGCAATCGGCGTGAGTTAGGGACTTTCTGATAGGAAGATAGAAAAGAGGGGAAAGAAGAAACAGAGGAAAAAGAGGGTGTGAAGAGGACACAAAACAAGTAAAGGTTCTAACTTAACCTACAGTCTTGGAAGGGCCTTCCTCCCCCTCTCCTCCAGGTAATCTCTAAGACAGACAACTGATATCAGTTAAAATGATTAAGCCTTGCCAAAGTCACATCCCTTCTTTTAACCCGTTCTGGTCAGCTAAGGCTGGTGAGCTCTGCTTTAAAATCCACACATACAGTGGGAAACATGGTGAGAATATGTGTGCAGAATTCTGCTCTATTCTCTGCTCTGTTCCATCTTCACGCTGAAGAAACTTTAGTGTATTTTTTTGTTTTGTTTTTCCAGTCACTGGTCTTTTTAAGAACTAATCCCATATCCTCATCCTCACTTTGTCAAAAAAAAAAAAAAAAAGATCTATCTACCTATCATCTATCTATCTATCTATCTATCTATCTATCTATCTATCTATCTATCATCTATCTATCCATCCTATCTATCTATCTATCCATCCTATCTATCTATCTATCAGTTCTGTGGCTCCTCATTGGAGGCCAGTCATAATTAGTAGATCAGTTCATCACTCTCCATAGCTCAGCTTTTAGCCTGTGTTTGGCAGGAAAGATGTCCAGTGCTAATTAAACTATTGCAGCCCAGCTCCCACTGGAAGCATCTCAGCGGCCACTGAGCCGAGAAAAGCTGACTGCCAGCTTCGGATTCTGGGATTCCCAGGACATCAGGTCAAGCCACTGAGAGGTCCAGCGGGGGTAAATTCCACACATAGTTTCTGCTCTCTGGGCTCTGTTATTTAACATCTGGGTTTACTGAATCGTGCAGATAGGGCAACGAGGGGCAGAAAACAGCTGGGCACATTGCTGAGCCCAGACCGAACGTGCCTAGTTCTTAGAACCCGCTTCTGGAAACCCCAGCTCCAACAAGCGGGTCACGTCTGAGCGAAGCGAAGGAATGAACAAGACCAGGCAGAGTTCTGGGAGCCAGGTGAGCACTTCACAGACAAGTTTCCACTTTTAGACAAGTTTTGAAAGTGGCTCCATTCTAAGGGCGGAGGTACAGAGTGACAAACTCCATATATATATATATATATTTGAACTCACATACTCAATTTTCACACACAGGAATGGGTGGGAAAACGCAACGAGTCCAGGCAAAACTTTAATATAAAGGACTCGCCACCAAAACTGCGGAACGCCTTTACTATTCTTAGGGAGCGCTTCTCCTCTTACTGCGCCTGCGCGCGCGCACTGTAGCCCCCGCCTCTCTAGCTGGGACGTCGGACGTTTGCTGCTAAGGCAGGCTGCGCATGCGCCCTTCCGGCCTCAGCCTCTAACGCGGTAAGGGCTACTGGAAGTACCGGGTGGTCTGTGCTTGCAGCCGAAGGTGCAGCGACGGATCGGCGCAAAGTGCTCGGAGACTGAGAAAAGGCGAGAGTGGCGCTGCTCGGCTGCTTGAACCAGAGGTACAGTGCTTCCTTCCGGCCCGCGCGCTTGCGGACGGACCCCGCCCCCTTCCTGGCCTGGACTCCCTTCCCTCTCTGCCCTGTCCCCTCCGGGCCCGCTCCGGCCCTGTTAAGGTCATGAAGCTCGTTAGGAAGGACATCGAGAAGGACAATGCGGGCCAGGTCACCCTGGTCCCCGAGGAGCCCGAGGACATGTGGCACACCTACAATCTGGTGCAGGTGGGCGACAGCCTGCGCGCCTCCACCATACGCAAGGTGCAGACCGAGTCCTCCACCGGCAGCGTGGGCAGCAACCGTGTCCGCACCACCCTCACGCTCTGCGTGGAAGCCATCGACTTCGACTCGCAGGCTTGCCAGCTGCGGGTCAAAGGGACCAATATCCAAGAGAATGAGTACGTCAAGATGGGGGCTTACCACACCATCGAGCTGGAACCCAACCGCCAGTTCACCCTGGCCAAGAAACAGTGGGACAGTGTGGTTCTGGAGCGCATCGAGCAGGCCTGTGACCCGGCCTGGAGCGCTGATGTGGCAGCTGTGGTCATGCAGGAGGGCCTCGCCCACGTCTGCTTAGTCACTCCCAGCATGACCCTCACGCGTGCCAAGGTGGAGGTGAATATCCCCAGGAAACGGAAAGGCAACTGCTCCCAGCATGACCGGGCTCTGGAGAGGTTCTATGAGCAGGTGGTCCAGGCCATCCAGCGCCACATTAACTTCGACGTTGTAAAGTGCATTCTGGTGGCCAGCCCGGGATTTGTTCGGGAGCAGTTCTGCGACTACATGTTTCAGCAAGCAGTGAAGACCGACAACAAAGTGCTCCTGGAAAACCGATCCAAATTCCTTCAGGTAAAGCTCTTACCCAGAGATAGCTAAGAGAGGGCAAAGGATTGGTATGAGCTGCCCTTGAAGTTTTAGAACCGGGAAAAGTAAAACTTAAACCCCTTTACTTGGCTGAGCTTGTAAAGAAATGGTAGAGAACTGTTGAATGTCTAGCACATCTCTATAGTAGCGTTCGCTGAAGTCCTTAAATAGGTAAAGCCTTATTAACGTTTTTTGTTTTATGTCATTGTGGGCTGATTAATGAACACTTCAGAGATTCTTTTGTCTTTTATGATTGTGATTCTAGGTACATGCCTCCTCTGGACACAAGTACTCCCTGAAGGAAGTCCTTTGCGACCCTACAGTAGCTAGCCGCCTCTCAGACACCAAAGCCGCTGGAGAAGTAAAGGCTTTGGACGATTTCTATAAAATGTTACAGCATGAGCCTGACAGAGCTTTCTATGGACTCAAGCAGGTAGAGAAGGCCAACGAAGCCATGGCAATTGACACGTTGCTCATCAGCGATGAGCTCTTCAGGCATCAGGATGTAGCCACACGAAGCCGGTACGTGAGGCTGGTGGACAGTGTGAAAGACAATGCCGGCACGGTCCGGATATTCTCCAGTCTCCATGTGTCTGGAGAGCAGCTTGGCCAGTTGACTGGAGTTGCTGCCATTCTCCGCTTCCCTGTGCCAGAACTTTCTGACCAAGAGGAGGATTCCAGTTCTGAAGAGGATTGAGACTAAAGCTTTAGTTTGCCTGCTTCTTCACTGTTAACCACTTCGCAGCATCCCTTGACAACTGCACGAGAGCCGCTCTGATTGGTGGATTGCTCGTGTATTTGGTCAGGCCATGTGCTTGGTAGGGCATGTTTTAAATAAACCGAAAGGAAATAACGCCCATGTACTATGTTTACTAATTTTGATATTTTTTTCTTAAAACCTTTAAAGCAATAATTTTGTGTATCTAAAAAGAATACTTAATGTACTGTTTTGGATTGATCATGAAACCCCATATATGTGCTTTAATTCATTTTCCTTAGAAAAGCTTTGTCCCTCTTTATCCTGGGTTTACATTATTTAAATTCTGTGTAGTATTCTTGCATTTCATTTAATGATCTATTTTCTCCTCACCTCTTTCCATTTTGTTTTTTAGATTTAAACATGTTTACTACTAAAGTGGTAGCAAAACAGTGAACAATGACAAGTCTGTTTTCCTTGAGAGATTTGTTAACCCCTCATTTCAAAACTACTTTTGGTCTTTTTTGTTGTTATA